CAGTTTTTCGATGGCTTAGAGATGTGTTTTGTAGAGTTTGGTGTTGGGTCAATCTTTTCATTCCAGAGTTTTTCTTTCATCTTCTGTGGGGAGGCGGAGAAATGGGGAGGAATCTGTGGCAGTGTAGTGAATTTATTAGGTTGGGCAAAGTGAAAACTTACCTTAGGTCAGGGGTTGGAGAAGAGGAGATTGTTCTGCTCTGTTCTGTTCTGATGAAGAGGGTATGGGAGGTCAGGTTCTAGTTGGGTGGGATATTTATGTGTAAGGTAGTGAATGGTGGTGAATAGGGTGAGGGAGAGTTGGTTGGAGATATGTCCATGAGGGACTCATCCACAAAGCAATCAAAACATTCCTCTAGATCTAAAGAGGACGAGGGCTAATGAGCGTTCAAAGAATTCTCCCACATGTGTATCGTTCATAGTTTTGGAACTGGCGGATGTGTAATGGGTGGTAATTTATGTCTGATGGGCAAGTTGTGTTGGGCTTGAGGATAAGGGAGCGTTCAAGAGCTTTGTATTTGGAGGGGTCCGAAATCATAATAATGGGTGAGATGGTGAAGGAAGGAGGGGAGGGTGATTTGGGGAGTCAAAGTGGCCGCTTAGGGTGGATATTTGATATGTGTATTTGTTGGTGGCAGAATGGTTTTAAATTTCAGTCGACATCGTGACTGTGTTTTCACTCGAATAACGAGGTGTACACATAAGGGTCAACTGCGTTACATATAATTGCACATTAGATTGCCAAAATTTCTTGTTGTAGGAAGATGAAAACACTGCCATGTCGCAATATTCTAAACATTTACTATGATTTATCTGTCGCCTGGCACATATAAACAAGAGTTTTAAACTTAATTATATGTAAACTGTTTACATATATGTAATTAATACGTGATGAAACACTGAACCAACATTTTTTATTGTGTCACAAGGCTAAAATGTAAGCTATTAATCCAAAACGCCCAATAATCAATGTTTCCACCTCGCGTGCGCGTTCTTAACCAATTTGAAATGACACCTATGTAACGCAGGAACATTTAAAACTGATAAGCTGATATAGTTCAATGCATATATACATATACTCTAGTCCATGTAAATTATTCAAAATGGAGTATATAAATAATATTAAGGATGGTGGAATAAGAAAAAGAATATGCAAGCTAAGAATAAGTGACCATCCCTTAATGATTGAGAAACGGCAGGCATATAATGCCCAATGTTAAAGTTGGCCTAGGATCTGTGCAAGATACAACAGATTCAATATTTTCACATGTATATTTGTAAAATATCACCTAAACAAACTAACCAAGAAAATAATTGATTGATATGATATTGCTAATTGTCCATCTACATTGTGCTTGGGTGATGACATGATACGAAAAACAAATACTCTGTCTTTCCACGCCCGATCTATACCTTCGTGTCTTTAAGGTAGAAAGATTTTTTCAAAAATTGATAAAACGGTTACCCTAGACCTTGATACATCATCCCAGCTTTTCAAAAGATCGAAATTGTGAAATAACGTTGCTCAAATTAGTGTTTTAAAACTGTAGCAGAAAAGAATACAACTGCAGTTTCGTGCATATTTGCATAATGTTTATTTTTAGAAGGGTTTAAATGATAACATCTTATCTGTATTATCAGGGGGAAATTCTTCTCCTCTGGGTTCTCCACACTTGCCAGGGGGGAATCTCGTCTCGTCTCTATATCTCGTTCCCTTGAGGTGCGGGATCGGGGAAGTCACTTAAGCTTTACAGTCAAATAAGACACACACAACGAAATACGTTTCAGCTCTCGTCTTAGTCGGTCAATCGAGCACTCTATAAGACACAGCGCCCTGGGGAAAAAAACCAAGACTATCGCAAGGCTGACCCAAGACTCTCTTAGACTGCGTCAAGGCTCGCCCTAGGACTTAGACTTAGACTCTCCACGACTGGACTTAGACTGCGTCAAGGCTCGCCCCAAGTCTCTCCAGGACTGCGTCTCTCATGGTGTACTCGTCAAGACCAACTCAAACTCTCTTTATTCATTTTCAAAACTCTAACCAATTAAAAAACAGTAAAAAGACTCTAGGACGTAACCTTCAATCATAAATCCAATCACACTAAGTACTGAATACGTCATATCTTTTGATTAATCGTTCACTACATTAATAACTATGGATACCAACTGTCAGAATTAGTAGTCTGAATAGCGATGGTTATCTCGTAATTAGTTCCAAACCACTGAGCCAAGTTCCGTCCAAAACTTCAAATAGGCCTAAACGATGACAGACATAACACAGCAATTCAGCTAATAATCAACTAATTAAGTCGGTCAACAGATGCGCAAAAACTAATTCATGACAGTATACTCTGTTGTTGACGATTCTGATATAACGGGTGATAAGCTTCCAGTTGCAAACAATGCGTGTTTATCTAACGTCCATTGTCAGCATTATTGTCAGTCGAGACTTCGTCAGAGAAACATGGTCATACAGTACTCATTTCGCCCAACC